GGTCTGAGGGATCTGATATGGTGCACCAGGGATGGCAGCAGTGACCCCCCCCTCACACGTACATGAAAAACACCAAATAAGTTGAGTCAACAATTCTTGAGACCGTCTGCAGTTCTACCTTTTCAGCTGTAGAAAGAGACTGGAGACTAGGAACAGGGGTTTTTTTGCCCTAGCAGCCTCGGAAGCAGATCCAGTGATGAGGGGCCACCATGTTAGCAGGGCGCATTTGGCCATGTGCTCAGATCATTTGTCTCTTGGTGAAGAATACCATAAACCAGCCTTTCTCCAATCTGGAGCCTTTCAGACCACAATGCCCATGATCCTGAGACAATAGAGCCAATAAGTATGACGGGAGTTACTGTCCTAGACATTGTAGGGCACGAAATTGGGAAGGATCGTCCTAAGATTGTATCTCTGGCCTACCATAACAAATAGCCATCCATGATTCTGCTGTGTGATTTTGTGAACTCTGTAATCTTTCCTGGCTTCCATTGCATTCATTTCTAATAAACTCCAGAGTTTTAACTTACCATATTATGAAAAAAAAATCCAAATAATCATTCCCTACTACTTTCCGCCATGCAATTCATGGCCTTATATAACTTCACACCATTCCAACCTTTTAGTTCTTTTTCACAGTTATGAAGCTCTAACATTTGTGTCCAGCTCTTCTAGAGAACACTTGATTGACAGTCTTGATTTTATATTTCTGAGCTACTCTCTTCTGCCTTGTTTTCTTTATTTAAATGCCACTTTTCTCCAGGGAATTGTGCACAAATACGAAATTGTTATGTGCTGTCAAGTTGCCCTGACTTATAATGATCCCGTGAATGAATGATCTCCAAGATGTGCTGTCCTCAACAGCCTTGAGTGATCCCGTGAATGAATGACCTCCAAGATGTGCTGTCCTCAACAGCCTTGCTCAATTCTTGCAAACTGTGGCTTCCTTTAGGAAGTCAATCCACCTTATATTTTGTCTTCCTCTTTTCCTTCTGTCTTCAGTCTCTCCCAGCATTATTGTCTTTTCCAGAGGAGCCTGTCTTTATTGAAATAAAGACATTGAAATAGAGATTTTGTATACCTTTGTTGAGTCATTGATCCAAGTAGAGACTGCAGCCAAGAAATTAGATGACCGACTCAGAAAGGTAGCAATGAAGGATCTAGAAAAGTTCATCAAGTGTTGATATGTGTCACTGGAGACCAAGATGCAAGATCATCCACACAATTGTATTTCCAATAACCATGTATAGGTGCGAAAGATGATCAGTAAAGAAAGCTGATAGGGGAAAAAATGATTTGTTTAAAATGTGGTGCTGGAGGAAAGCTTTCTGGAATCCTCGCACTGCTAGAAAGATAGACGAGTGGGTCCTAGATCAAATGAAGTCTGAACTATCTCAGAAAGACAGACGAGTGGGTCCTAGATCAAATCTGAACTATCTCTGGAGGCAAAAATGTTGAAACTGAGTCTGTCCTTCATTCAGCACATCATGAGAAGACTAGAAAAGACAATAATGCTGGGAAAGGTTGAAAGCAGCAGGAAGAGAGGAAGGCAAAATATGAGGTGCATCAACTCACTAAAGGAAACCACAGGCTTGAGTTTGAAAAAGCTGTGCAGACAGCACATTTTGTAAATTGCTCATTCATGGATTTGCCAGAATTTTGGGGCAACTTCACAGCACATAACAACAACAATCAAGATCAGTATGACTGACTTCCTATTCGAAATGTTCATGTTAGAATATGGCACCTGAATAATAATAATAAATTATTTATTTAAAATGTTTCCATTCAGCCTTTCTCCTTTTAAAAGGATCCCATTTGTGCCTGAGATTCAGCATTTGTAGCACAATCAGAATAAAATATGCAAAATTTGGATGTAGACATTAGTTCTGTCAGGCTCTGAAATTATTTTCCTATAACTGCACTTGACACTTGTTGGTTGCAAATTTTATTTCACCTCCTAGCCCATCCATACCCCAACAAAATTCTAAAAATGAAGTGTCTTTGAAATGAAGAGCATAATTCTGCTTGCCCTTACTGCTGAATAGCACAATTATTATATGTAGCACTTTCAAATGCAATGTCGTACTCCAAAATAGCCTGCACCCATTCATCATATGAATTTTTCATAAGCTGGTCCTTTTGTCATGGTTTGGCAGCCCAGATAAGTCCCAAGTATTTACTCTGCTCTCGAAGAAAAAACTAGTAGAAGTTGCCCTGCAGAGTGGTTGTCAGCCATTGTCTAAGCTGATGCCTGTGGTTTTAGCAATGTTTCCAAGGTAAACTATTGCACTAAATATGTTATAATTTCTTTCTGTTTTGAATTATCATTTTGCAAACATATAGTTCTTGTTTGATTTAGCCTGGCTGAGTTTCGACTCATTTCCTTCATGCTTTTAATTAACATATGCCGGGTTAACTATAAAATACATCATTTTGGGGCTTTGGCAAGCAGGGCTGTATCAAATTCTTGTGTTGTGTCCAGATTAAGCACTCTTCTCTGAATTTTTAAACCAGTCTTTGAGTGTTTGCTGTGAAGAAAGCTGGGGTGTATGTTAAAATGTGTACATGCAAGAGTGTGGATTTGTGTGGAAGACAGAAATATACTTTGCTTCTACGAATTATTGCTGCCTTATGGATTGCAAGCTGTTGACATTGAGCTCACACATTTTAGCAAGACTGACATTACTCACAACTATTATAAGGGACTTCTAACATGAAGTGTGTGCATATCTGGGTTGTCCTTATGGGACCCTATTTCAGCATGAACAGATTTAATGTATAGTCATGGGATAAATGTAGACAGTAGCTTAAATCCAAATGCTCGTCCCAGTTAAAGTAAACCAGTTTCTAAATGGTAAGTCAGCATTCATATTAATGTCATTCTTTCAATGGATCTTCTCTAGCTGGGTCTAGCCATTAGATTTAGGCCTGTGACACTGTAGCTAAAACCTAATCTATCCTGGGCACGCTGCAGTGTCCCAGGGTGACCCCTAGAAGAAGGGAATGATAAACCACTTTTGTATATTCTCTACCTAGATAACCCTGGGAAGGGCCACCATAGGTTAGAATTGTCTTGATGGCATTCAACTATTACCACTACTGCTTCAGAGTCTTACCCACACTTGCTGTCAGTAGATAAATAAACTCAGTTGACTAGGATGAAAGGTCCCAGTGGATCTTGCATAACTGGTTATTTGTGGTCCCACTTTCCACTTGCTCACTTCTGTCCCCACCTGCTGATCCCACTACATTTTCCTTGGCACTGAAAGCAAGTTGGGTTTTATCTAGACATTTTTAGAATACTGTATTGCTTTCGTTTTAGTTTCAGTTAGTGCAGGTTTAAAATTTACTCCATGGGTTTCAATTCTGGTGTGTCAGTCCCCACTATTTATTTATATATGAAGCAATAATGTCCCCAAAGGTTGCCTAGCAGAGCTTATACTGGACTAGTTTTAACTTTGCTGATGTTTCCCCATCCACTGAACTATTATATTCTGCCTCCAAAACACTAGTCACTGGGCAGATACTAGATATAAATATAATCTAATACAGTAGTGCCTCGCAAGACGAATGTAATTTATTCCGCGAGTAGTGCTGTCTTGCGAAAAATCACCTTGTGAAAAGTGGCTTCCCATAGGAATGCATTGCAATGCATTCCTATGAGAACCTCGCAAGACAAATCAATTTTTTTCATCTTGCGAGGCATGGGTCTCGAGAGAGAGAGAGAAACTGTCTTGTGAAGCACTGCCATAGAAGAAGCCATCTTGCAAGGCACCATAGTGATCGAAAAAAACCATTCATCTTGTGGTTTTTTCATCCCGCGAAGCATTCGTCTTGCGAGACACCACTGTACTGTATGTTGATCAATATGTTGCGAAGGGGATGGCCTAAGATTTGAAATAAACTGGCTTCTGTCTGAGTATGTACATTTGCAATATTGCAAGCTAACTGCTGTGCAAGCTTGTGTGTTCTGGAAAGAACATTTTAATCAAGAATCCCGTTTATATTTGTTATTGGTCCCAAACAAGGCCTTACAGGATTGACTGTTAATGTTATAGTCCAGAATGTTGGCAGATGTACTTCAGTTTAGTTCCCTTGGCTTTGGGGAAGCTGTGCTGAATATCACCTGATGATTTGGCCCCATGCCTTGCAAGCTGAAGGCTAGAACCATAAACATACTTTCTAAGGAGTGAGTTTAAATGAACACAGTGAGAATGACGTCAGAATGATAACCAAGCAAAAGACTGTACTATAAAACCATATAATACATATAACTCAGCAGAGTTGCAGGCAGGAATTTTTTCCTAGTCCTCCCTGGAGTCCCCTCCTGCAGTGGTCCCTGTGATGATTTGTGTTTTTATGTGTATTAGAATGGGATATGTAGTACTAAGATTGTCCCAATAGCATCCATTTTGATTTAAAGTCTGTTCTGTAGTAGGAAAGTTTTATATGCTGTTTCAGAGAAGCTTCGATCTCTGGTTATCTCGTTGCTAAGCTGAGTGGAGAGCAGAGAGTTTCGTAGTCAAAATAATTCTGCCACAAAGAATGATAACAACTGAAGCGTGTATGATGGCTTCATCATCATCATCATCCTCGTCGTGGTCTTAAAACTGCAGAGCTGGAAGAGACCCTATGGATGCTCTTCTGCTGCTGCTGCTGCTTCCTGCCCTGCTCTCCCAGCATTTGGAGACGCACCAGCAGACGGGAAAAAGGAGACACCGAGAAAGAGGGAGGGAGAGAGAGAGAGAGGAGCGTGGTTTATTGATTCGCAAAGCAACAGCCTGATTTGCATGTAAATAAATCCCAGTCGCTGGCCGGCGAGCCATTCGTTGAACTGTCCAGATGCGACGACTTTGACTTGCTGACATCACCGCCTCATTAGCATGCAGGAGAGGCGAGCACTGCAACAGCAAAAGAGAGGAAGAGTGGGAGAGGCGGGTTTGGAGGGGAAGAGAGAGAGAGAGAGAGATGAGCGATGAGCGCCTGCCTCGCCAGCCAGCCAGCGAGAGAGCAGCAGCACATCCTCCGCGATGATGGGGCGGCTGTAAGCGAGCTCGCTGAGCGTCTCCGGCTTGCAGGAGGAGGAGGAGGAGGAGGGACTGCGGCTTGGAAGCAGCAGCAGCAGCAGGAGCAGCCTCGCTGGCTCAGTCCATCCTCCAGGCGCTGGGGCTCCGCGAGAGTCCCTTCGGAGGGTTGGAAGAGGCGATGGAGTGAGAGGGGAGAAGCAGCGCCGGCGGATTCGCGAGGGAAGCAAGCCCGTGGCCGGGCATCCAGCGCCGGCAGACGCTGAGCCGAAGAGCCGCTTTCCTGGCCGCCGGTGGCTGGCAGGGCAGAGCTTCTTTTTTCCCCCCTTGCTGGACACCCGATGTATGCTTTCCTCTCTTCCTTGAAAGCGCGCGTCTCTCGGTGCGTTGTGGGAGATTTTGCCTCTACCCCCCCCCCAAAAAAAAGCCTGCCTGCTGTTCATTTCAAGACATCTCCCAGTGGCTGCAATCGCAGTGCTTTGCAAGAGAGAGAAAACAGTAGGCTTCCCAAGGCGGCCGTGCCTCCCGGGGCTTTGCAGGCAAGGACACCTCGAAGGAAAGTAAACTATCACAACTGCTTAAAACACACCCACCCACCGACCCCCGAATAACCAGCACGCGCAGGAAAAGTAAGGAAGTGGGCGCTGGGTGGATTTTTTAAAAAAAGACGAAAAAACATCACCACACACCCGAATAAGTTCAGAAAATCGGGACTTGGACTCGGTTGGAACAGGTAAGCCTTGAACGATGCTTTTCTCTGCCTAGCTGTCACTTGATGAGACGAGCCTGCCCCCCCCCCCTCTTTAACCGTAGCTTAAGGATGTAGTCCGGGATAAGTTGAAATATACTTGCTCACCCATCAGTCACCCCCGTTCATTGATTGGGAAGAAGGATGGGTCAGTTTGGAGGCGTTGGCCAAAGATTATCTGCCCCAGACAGGATTTCAGAGATCTGCCGCTGGTATCTAAAATTAGCTCTGAGACACAGGGTGGCAGTGTTTTTCAAAATATATGGTGATGTGGCAAGGCAGGATAAAAATCATTCCACACTAATAGCTGTATATGAATATGTATGTGAGCAGGTTTCCTTACCCCCCCTTCTTTTCTTTTAACCTTTCTGTTGTTGGTGTTGCTGCTGTTGATTGAAACAGTTAATTGCTAATCTAGGCATTTAAAATCATCAGGAAGTTAAGGTGGAAAACTTAAGCTACTTTATATTCATCCTTTAAATAGCCTCGCTCTGCCCCCAAATCAGCTGCTTTTGAAAACATCTGTCAGGGTTAATTTTAGTGGTCATTTGTGCTCTAGAATGTCTGAAAAAAAACACCTTTGGGGATATTTTTAAAGCAAGCTGGGGGTGACTCCGGCTCAGAGCAGAACGTGTTTTTAGTGTGGCTGCTTTTTACTGCAATCTTAGAAGAGACTTGGGGGAAAAAGGCAGTTGACACATGGTTGACTTCTCACACCTTTGTTTTCTTTAGAAACTTTCAGACCCCTGCAATTATTTAACCTGGAAGGGTTGAGTCTCTCTCTCCCCACTTGTTTATCTTCCTGCATTTCCTTGCTTGAGGCTTACTTTGAAGGCATCTGCCCAGCCCATATCAACATGACCTGTGGCGATGCTGAGGTTTCAGTCTGCTTGTTCTACTTCTGGTCTCTGGGGTCTGCCAAATTGCTAGCCAGATCTAATAAACCACCAAAGATTACAGCAAGACTCATTCTTGCCAGCATCTTTCTATGGATTTTCCTTCTCTCTTCGCTCTTTAATTTATCCTGCTTAATTTTTCCTTTAATTTCTGGTTACTCCCACCTTGAACGAACATTCATGTGGCCCAGAGACGTTTTTTAGAGGGTGTCGTGCATGGACACAGAAGAAGAGAAGGAAGGGGAACGTCACCAAAGATTAATTTAGGGTGGACAGAAATTATCAAGAAAAATTGAGCCAAGGCTTCTGCATAGTTGAGCCCCCTTAGGAACCATCAATCCAAAGGGCACTAAGAAACAGTCAGGCACAAAATAGGTTAAGGCTGCAATTGTCATTGAGTTCTAGCAGGAGGAAGACAATGAATAAATATCCTAAGAGAATCGGGGTGGGTGGGGACTGTCTGGCTACATTTGTTCTGTCTGTCTGTTTTCATAAAGGACACTCAATATCTAAAGAGGTCAGATGTAAAAATGTACCTAGAGTTAGGCAAAGTTTGTCATAACCGGCCTGCTAGTCTTTAGCTACCCACTGCTGCCTTAAAACCAGTTCTGGGGGCCTTGGTTTCATGGAATTATTTATATGGGTGATCTTGATATATGACAAATGCTTAGTATAGCTTTTCCACTAGGATGGGGTGGGGGTGGGGAGAGAAAAAGCTGTATGAGTGTTTCCTAAGACATTTTTTTCTGCTTTCTCTCCTTGCAATGAGCTTGAAGCCATCTTTATTTTACTGACCAAAATGAATCAATTTAGCTTCTTTTAGGTGCAGTTTGCCAGTTCTGTCAGCACAGACACACTCACACCCACTTTTCTTTCCCTGATTGCTTTCACAGATGGCTACATCCAATTCTTCTCAAGGGATACAGAACTTTGAAATCATTATCATATTTAAAAGACTCTCAAGCTTTCTGATATTCTGTAGCATGTGATGTTCTCCTCCCCAATGCATGTGTGTGTGTGTGTGCTCTTGCTCTCTCTCTCTCTCACACACACACACACACACACACACACACACACACACACACACCATTTGCTGCTCCAGGGCTGAGAGAGTTTGGATGTCTGGACTTCCACTTGTTTGCAAACAGTGGTAGCCTTTCAGTGAAGAATTGCAATTAGATGTGGCAGGGAGGTCTTGGAAAATGATTTCCAAAAAGAAACGCCAAAGCAAACATGGACAGCAGAATGTATAGGATGGTAAAATAGCTTTTGGAAATTGATTCCGACTGGGATGACAGGGTTGGCGCTGGAAGTGTGGAGGATGGGGGAGGTATCAAAGGTTGCTATGGTTCAGATCTGTAGCACTTTCTTGCTTCCAAAGATTATATTCACACAGTGTTCAGTGCTAATTTATAACCTCACTCGCACCCCTTATGTGCCAGGAGAGGGGGCTGTGTAGATGACGAAGGTTCTCTGATGCTATGAAGATAATGCTGTGATGCTCATGTAGGAGGAGGCCACTTGGGCATGTGCAAACAAAGCTCTACCTTCAACCTCTGTTGAACTGATTTAACCCTGTACAGAAGGTATGGCTGTTTCCATACTGTTTCCACAGATGCACTGTGTCATGTTTTGCCATGTCCCCCCCCCCAATGCAACATTCAGTTGCTCTTCTATTAATGTGAGAGCTTTAAAATCTAGGAACCTGTATGCTTGGGTGCATACAGTTGTCTGAAACAAAGTAGAATGTTTCAGAAATAAGGGATGAATGTAAATCATGCCCTGTAAAGGATTATTTCTGGGGGGGAAACCCTGCTCTGTTTATTTAAGTGGCCATAAAAGAATCAGTTGAGCTGGAATGAGCTGCATGCTGTCCTGCTGGAATGGAGAGCAATTGAACAGCATAATGTTTAAAAAGCATGCAAGATAACCTATTGCATACCGCAAGCCTTTGGAGCATGCTCATGCTAATAGAATCTGCCAGGGAATTAAAAACCAGAGGGTATGTTTAGAAATCTGTCATTGTCTAGCCATTCCACAACACTCCTGTCCCCAAAAGTGAGCTTGACTGCCAAATGCATACAGTGATGTGTCCATAGTCAACGATTCCTGTCCTTCGGAGCTGTTTGGCTGTTTGGACCAATTGGCTCGTAGCCCTGCTACATGAGAGCCCTTCATGGCACTTGTAAAGCCAGGCATTCAGAGGACATGTGGAGGGCCTCTTGAGTATCAAGGGATGTGCAGAGACCATGGACTGTTTTTTCTTCTTCAAAAGGCTTGAGACTTTAAAAACAAAAAAATAGTTTCCAAATTGTTGGCAGTTACTCTAGTTTGTGTTTAACAGTAATGCAATTGTGCATTACTTCAACAAGCATAGTTTTAGAAAGGAAGCAGGATCAGGTTCACAGTCAGGATATTTTGAAAGTTTGCAGAGGTTCTGCCTGGGATTGATCTTCATCTTTGGAAAACAAGGTCGAGCATGCTTAGGGTGGTGAGACTGGAAGCTCTCCTGTTGTATGTTCGTTCGCTGCTGCCCTTGCCATCACTGTTATCTAGACAAGTTGCCCTGCTTGTTAGCATTTAACAATGTAGATGAAAGAGAAGAATTGCTTGGAAACCAAGTGTGATGCTCCTAATGGCCATAGCACCCTGGAGACTTCAGGGTATTACAATTCCCCAAAAGGTAATGCTTCCAAGTTTTAGCTGGACGGCAGCAATGGGGCAAACCTGGATACCACCGGCTGACTGCCTTTTATAGGATGGCATCTTCCTAGCAGTGACGGGAGCTGTCAGCTTCTGCTATGGCTGCTGGAAGCTTTCTGTGCAAGGCTAAGTTAAACAGGGCCTTCTTCCTCATTGCCAGTTATTTAGCTGCCCGAAGTTTTTTTTTTTTTGTTTAATCCCCTTAATCAATGCTTTTATTGAATTTCAGCTTATGTTTATGTTGATTTCCTGATAGTAGGTTGCCCAGAGTAGTGGCTTGGCCATTAGATAGGTAGAATAATAATTGAAATAAATTAATAAATTAATAGACTTTTAAAAGGTGATGAAGGATATTTTCCCCCCACTAAACATTTCCGATTTACAAATGGAAGAAATTTGGCAAATCCACTGATCTCATGACTGAATACCAAGCACAGAGAACCTTATAAATTTTCTGGGATTATTGTTATAACCATCATAATTTTCAGAAAGTCTTTCAGCTTTAAATCTAAAGTCTCTGCCGTCACCTTGGCTCTATCCTAAAGCTACCTTCACTGCCATAAAAGGAGTTACATTTAGATAATTGCGAAGGCATGAAGAAAACTGCTGAAGTGGTTAATGGCGCAATCCGAAGCATGTCTAACTCTGAAATGAGTCACGTCCAATTTATTGGCACAGAGCAGCGATCAATTGCTTATTTAAACTTACAGGTTTTATATAAGGCCAGGGCATATAGCAACAAGTATATGCATACATATACCTTAAAAAGAGATAAGAACATGATTAACAAAATTCTTAATTACCAATCTACCAGACAAAAGCCAAAATGGAAACATTTGCCAAGAACCTAACATGGCCCTCATGCCTATTGTTTTTGAGTCATAGTGGGAGACCCTCCGTTTCAAAGCTCCCTTCACTCATGTAGTTCACTGGACAACTTTGGATGGCAGTCAGCATAGCTTGCTTCATAAGGTTGTTATAAAGTAATAAAATTAATTAAATGATAAAGTGTCACTAAAACAGTAAAAACAGAATTAGCAGTAAACCGAAGGGAGAGGGGAGCCCAGCTACAAACACAAGTAGCATTTTTGGACAAACAACAAGAAACAAAAGGCCTACTCAGTTGTTACCTTAATTAGCTTAATTGGCAACACAGTGGGGGAGGGGGGTGCTGGCTAGCCCCTCCATTCAGCAGAAATGAGGCTAAAGAGGGAATATTTGTTTTTGTTCTTAGCTGGCTGGATAGCCCAGTGGCTTAGAGGTTGGGGGTGTGCCTCCTATGAATAGAGCCAGCCTGTGAGGTTGGGGTTGTGCCTCCTGTGAATACAGCCAGCCTGTGTGGCCTTGGGCAAGCTGCAGAGTCCCAGAGAGGCCCCAGAAGAAGGG